GTCGTGTCTGTTGCTATTTCAGATTTCAAGGCTCCGTGTTGTTGTATTTTCTCTTTCAAGTGAGTTGATTGTAATTGCTTATTTGTTTTCAGTAATAATATTTGTTTTTTCTATTGTGATTTGAGTTAACTTTGATTTCAGAGTGAGAGTTCAGTAATAATATTTATTTTTTCTATTGTGATTTGAGTTAACTTTGGTTTCAGAGTGAGAAGTATTGTTTGTTAATTCTCAAACCGATAAAAAAATGAATTCTTTCATACATACGACATTAAAAATGATCAAAATACCTTACAAGACTAACTTGGTCCAGCCAATCAAGCTTTAATTACAAAGCTAATCAGTCAAATTCCATCGAGAAGTGAAGACCTGTAGATCAAGTGGGGGCTAGACTTTGCTCTCCTTGTCAGTAGATAGAATCGTAGCTTACCTTCAGCAAATTATCTGGAACTGCTTTATTACTTGGAAACAAGTCAATGAACTCAATTCAAATTAGATAACTTGGAACTTCCGATTCGTGGATATCAATATCAAGCGCCGCTAAAGTGGGAATCAACAAGTAAAAGTGGCAATCATCAAGTAGAGTGAACTCAATTCAAATTAGATAACTTGGAACTTCCGTTTCGTGGATATCAATATCAAGCGCTGCTAAAGTGGGAATCAAAAAGTAAAAGTGGGAATCAACAAGTAGAAAGGATAGAGCGGAGAGTGCCGAGAGGGAATCAAGGAATAAGTGCTTACTTTAAATTCAAGAATCTAAAAATAATATCAATCTATCTTATTTATAGAACTAGGATTTGTAATTTAACTTCAAATCAAGGCTTATCATCTAATTCAGATTTAAAAAATGGTTACTGTAACATAATTTCAATCTAATTCAAATAATGGATAACATAATTAGACTAAATAAATATTATTGAACTTTTCTAATATTGAGTTTATTCTAGACTTGAGTCGAGTCATTTGGGTTCATGAGCCAAATCAATCACTTCGTTACATTTCCATTTGCTTTGTTTGTTTCATTTTTGTAACATCTTCATTTGTTCAACGTGAATCAGTGATATGTGGGAATGGCAAGAAGAAGATTATCATCTAAATGAGATTACAAAGAATGGTATGTATTTTTTTCTAATTTATTGGTTTACATTTATACATATTTGGTTCTTATAAAGTATATTTTTATTCCATAAGATCTCTCTCGTTGCTTGTGGGATGAAGTGAATCAAAGTGAGGATAGCTTGATATACTTGCTAGAGGAACAAACACCTATCAAAGATTGTTCAGATTTTGGTTATCAGACCGCTGATATTGAAGGTGTGCCTCTATGGTTTCAATTATGCAAGGGTGATTGTAATGTAAAAAATATAATTGTTTATTAACGAGAATATTGTGTATTAGAAAATATGAACAAGTTGTTGGAGGAATGCAGAGATTCGTCACAGCAAAAGAGGCGGCGTGTGCTTTGTTTCCCTCATGATACTAATGAGATTTCTATTTGTAATGTACAACGTACTTCTGTTTTTCTTAAATCCAAGGTTGGTAGCACAGATAGTTGAATTAAATAATTTATTCGTGGGCGTTTGGCATCACTTTAATATTTTGTTTTGTTTTTTATTCTGATCATATTTTGATTTAAATTATAACATGATCAATTAAGTTGGTTTTTTAAAAAAAAACACTTAAAATTTCTTTTAGGTGTTTTGCGTATTTTTAAAAATAAGTATTTTTTTAAACATAAATTAAAAACATATAAAATTTATATTAATCAAATATATTTTTAAAAATAAAAGAAAAATAAAAAATAAAAACAGAAAATAAAGTTATGCCAAACAAACCCTTAGCATTTGGGCTATTAGGGTGATGGTGGTTGTTTGTTCTCTCTGATCTTGTTATTTAGGAGAGGGAAAATGAACAAATGCATGATGAAGAGCCATCATCATCGGTCAATGTCGAATGGAGCTCACAGCGGGATACAGGATTGTCAGGTTAGTTTCTCTGATTTCAAACCTTATATTTTGTCTAACAAATTACGGGGTTATTGTTTATAGCTGAAAAGGAAT